CAATTTTACTACTATTTTAGGAAATCAATTTATGCAGATCATTTCATTATTTAATTTATGCATTAATTTGATGATTGATTTTGTAGTACTAATTTGATTGATCGCAGATCATCTGTAGATCAATTTGCAGATCTAATTTCAAGGGTAACAGTAGCATATTCAATACGCTTCTGTTTGTGTTTGTCTGTAAGAAAGGGTATAGATTTTGGAACTTTACAAATATAATTGAGGTTATGAAGCTCATTAAGCACTGTGCAGTCAGTTATGTCAAGGTTGGTATACTTGACATTTAAAATATTTGCAAGCTTAATGCATGTTGAAATTTGTTTATTGAGATAAGCTGATCAAGATAGTGGTGTTTTTTAGGAGAAAGTTTCTTTGGTCTTTCAGATCGAGGTAAAGGGTCTAAAGTGGTATTTTTTTTGAGTTTTTTGATATATTTATAAACAGTAGAGAGAGGAATAGAAATTAGTTTGTGTAAGTTTAGGCGTTATATGTACCATTTTCCACAAAGAGGTTATTATAGTATAGCGTTATTTTAGTGTAACTTGAGCTATTATATGTCTAGTGTAACCTTAGCAAAATGTAAGCAAAACAAAAACAATGATGATCATTATAAATAAAAATGATTGTTGTATCACCACATAATAGGAAATTTTTGTAAATTGTATATTGCGGAAAATTTTTAAGTTTTTTTCCGCTACATTTTATTCTCATTATTTTTTTCGAGAACTGTAATAAGAAAAGTAATATGTTTGTTTTATTTTGGAACATTTATAGAGGCAGAAAAATCAGTTAAGATGACGTTGATATGTTTAAAAAGTTAATCGAATAATAAGCTAAATTACCTTATTATTATTTTGTGAAATATACTCGTTTGTTTAATCAAGGATATTAACAATGTAATATTGGTAAGTTTGATTATATTTTATTAGTTCACTTAATCTTTACTTATATTTGCGCAAGTCAGATAAAAGGGTTCACTAACTGTCTTGCTTTCTTTTTATGACTTGTAGCAGTCCAGGAATCGAATTTGGAATAAATCTTCAGGGAATTATGATGGCATCACAGAAAATCAGATCAACAGATTCGCTCAAAAACACAATAAAAAGCTTTGATCGTTAACCATATGGGATCATGCCCCTTAAATCAACAAAGGGGTCTTCTTTTTATTATTATTACATGAGTATCTGCGTGAAAGTTCGAGAATATTACGCGTCTACAAGATGTTATGATTAGTTTTTTCTTATGTCATACAGCAATCATCTCAGCAATAATTTTCCCAAATATTATATTGTGCATTTATTGGAATGCAAATACAAATCCCTCAATTCCCACAACCATACTATGCAGAATATTATCATGTAAATATATTGTGCTTAATACACCTTTACTTTATTGATTGTAAATAAAAAGTACATTTTGGATCTTAGATCATGATACAGATTAGCTTGATACAATAATACATAATACATGATAAAGTCTATTGTGTCTATTCTATTCACCTCCCTATACTTGTTATGTTTATTGTACCAATATCCTAACCTAATAATCCATTTCATTTGTTTGCATTCGTAATTAATAATGAGATCCTTGAAATGGAAACTAGGTATTAGTCCTGATGATAAAAAAAAGTGTTAAATCTCATGTTGCACTGTTCTATCTTCTTAATCGCAAATAATCTCTAATCTGATAGTTTTAACCAAGCTGTATAGCATTTTTCTGATATTATACTGCACATTTCAGATGATCAGTCTCATATGACGAAGTTTTTATACTAAGATCATCGCAAAACATGAAATAAATATGGTAACTCTGATGTCTATTAATTTGTCAATCTCAATTCAACTAAAAAAATAGACCTATATGATAATTTAATTTACAATCTACCTTATAATTCTCCTAGCCAGATACTGGAGATATGATAAGACTCATCATTGGTAAGGTTTTTCTTTCACATTTTCCATCATGATAATAATAACCGCTATCATATCTACTATTTACATTATATCCATCATATCCATTATCATCTGAATCATTTGACATCTTTTCTTCAGAATCATTATCACTATCATCATCTATTAGCTTTGCTAACACCTTTGATGCTTCTTCATTCATTCTTTTCTCTTCTTCATCTTCAGAATAAAAATACATATCACCATCATTGTCTGCCTTAGTGATTATTTCAGACTTTTTAGAACTCTTTTAATCGAATCATTTGCTCCTTCTTCTTCCTTAAAGTAATCTATAATATCAGATGTGTTACTAAAATTATCATCTGAGTCATGATCTAAAGTAGTAGCTACTATCTCAGAAATTTCGTTTACAGGACTAGTGTTTATTTTTGATTTGACCTGTTCTATGATATATTTGATTTGAGGATTAGTAAGCCTTGAAAATTTGTTGGCGCTATAGATAACCTGTTGAACCATATACTCTTGTATACCTTTAATCTTTTTCAGAGTTATAGGATCATATTTATACCCAAATAACTATTGATTTTTCTCACTTTACAGGTTATTACTTGTAAATATCCAATTGAAACATCTGCGAGATACAGCTTCATTTTATTATAGATCTGCTTTCTTGCAATCTGATCTGTAAGTTTCTTATAATTAGACCTAAGCTTTATAACTTTATCTTTGAACCTTTCAGAGAATAAACACTATAATGTAATCTCTGATCATTTTGCTATGATCGTTCATTTTTTGCAACATTTGCTTGGCAGAATTAATTGGCAAGTTTTTTAATGCTTATTGATTCAGAAACTATGGTTTTTGGAGAAGAAAACTATATAGTCTGAAGTGAATCATCAGATGAGAGTAATTCTTTCAACAAATCTTGTACAAATTCGGTTACTATACTTGAGGAAGCCTAAACATTCCCATTATACTTAGTTGATAGAATGTGGTCCCTTTGAAACACCCCTAGTAAGCTATCAGAAAAAATTTCTTTTCTTGATCTTTCTGCCTTTAGATTTCTATCTATCTCCAGGCAGATGTTGGGAGGAGTATTGGCAATTTCTTTCTCTTGTTTTTGTCTCTCATGTGATGATTTTAAATTTTCAGAAAACCTCTTAACTTTGTTAAGGAGTTTTATATCACGTGACAATTCAGAATTTTCAGGATACATATTAACGTTATATTACCTAATCTCATTACTAACCTTTTTCTTATGCATCTCATCCAAGAAAGCGTCTGTTTCCTTGTCTTCAGGTAATAAAGTATTCACTAATGGTTTCTCGTGATATGTTACTATAGATACCTGATCTGCAACTAAATTGAAGTTAGATGAATTGATGTTAGAAGAATTATGTGAAGCGTCTCTCGACTCATTTAGAGTCTGTTCTATTCTACTTATGTAATTCTATCTCTAAACTCAGCATTCTCAGACAAGCTAGCTCGTTTAGTGATAACTGTCTTATTTTTCTCTAGTTCTCGATTCTGGCCTTGAGTTTAGCATACATTTTTTACTTTCTTTCACAGCCTGTCTTAGAAGCACAGCAATCCTGATCTTAAGTTCAGTTTTCTCAACCTTAGAATTAGTTTTCTCAATCTCAAAATCAGCAAACTTCCTTCTAAATGAGACTTAAGCTCATTATTGTGTTGCTTAAATAATTCTTGCTTGGTTAATATGGTCTATAACTAATATACTGTATATGAGAATTCAAAATAAAAATCATGTGATTTCCCTTACTCAGGGTAAACAAAATTTTGCCAAGAAAATTTTATGTGACTTTAGGAGAATATCTTTTAGAAAATAATTATTTGTTCACACATTTCAGGACCTTTATTTTTGGCATTATTAAGTAAATCTACTACTATTTCCATAGTTATCAGTTGGTGTAATATCGCAACTGATCTACGACTTAACTATTCTTTTTTACCTTGTCCCATTAGAATGATGAAATCAGTTATGCGAGTATCTATTTTATTTCTATAATATTCTACTTTAGAAATGAGTCTATCTTGACTGAATATATCATTAAATGCCTTCACATTAAAGAGTTCTCTCATTAAGTAGTGATATGCCTTTCTCTTTGACCATTGCATTAGTTTTTGAGCTTAATCGAAAGATTAATAAAGTTATTAATCCAAAGCATATTTTTTTAATCATATAATAATACTTCGTAAACTTCATCAACTACTAGGCCTTGACGAATAAGTTCTTGTAATTCTGTATCTGTTACTGTCACACTTTTGGGCTAAGTCTCATTGATTGATGTTGAAGTTGCCGATGGTGTAGATTGAATATGTCTTTTATTCTTTTTACAAATCATAATCTTGACTTTAGAAGAGTAAATTCAAAATCTCGAAAAAAAAATGAAGGATAGATGCTGTGTATGGATTAACAAATTCTTCTAAGCTAGCGATCACCGCTCTGAGATAATGATCTGTATTCTAGACTCGAAATTTTTCACATTAAATATATTATTTTATTATAACAATCATGACGAATAATTCCAAAATGCTTAATCAATTATATAAAGTGCTATTATATAAGAAGAAGGATATAATAGCTATTCAGGAAAAACTCGATATTAGTGGTAATGCAAATCAAATGGCAAGCATTGAAGCAAAAAGGCAGAAAATACTTACTGATTCAAATGAGAATTGGTAGGGGATTTAATACTGATACAGGAGGATCTCAATATTGATGGTAATCCTATTTTAGAAGTGGAATATCAAAGCAATGAAGCTTCTACGGATATTTCATTGAAGGAGATATTTAATTTGCTTAGTTATTTAGAAGAGAATATAATAGCAATTCAGAAAGAACTCAATATTGTTAGCTATACTAATCAAGAAAATGCAGAAGAGGCTGATAAAACTGCAAGAGAATATCTTTAAAAGTTTGAGGAATACCATGGTCACTTAGAAGACGTTCCAAGTGTATTAATACAAAAATTTATCGATAGAGAAGTAAAAAAGTTTTATTTTACCGAAGAGGGCTATCATTATTTCCAAAGGTCTCTTCTCAACAATTACATGAAATTTTTATCAAAAATCCAGTTAGCGTCAGTCAATGCCCATGTCTAGAACAAGTTATCTAATCTATATTTTTTTTGTTGTATAATTTGTACTCAGCAAATTTTCCAAGCTGATGATCACTGCTCAGACTGGATTGGATTTCACATTACTCGCTATCAGAATATGACCAATCATTTTCTGTATCAGACCATTCTACCTCAATATTCTGATCAAGCTTTTCCATTACCTTCCTGCTAATATCTCTACAACCTAACAAGTAAAGGTATTTAGGTTAGAACATGAATAAGTAATTTCTCTGATAGCTGAATTACCAATCATATTACAGTTATTGAGATCAAGGCGTTTGAGTTTAGGACATGAACGTGCAATAGCACGAATACTGAATCGGTAACACTACAGCCACTTATACTAAAGTCTTCTAATTTATAACATGATTTCACTATTTGTTTGACAGTAATATCAGTAACACTTTTACAATTTATCAGTTCTAGAAATCTGAGGTTTTAACATAAGCATATAACAATATATACAGTAGCATCACTGATCATGAGGAATATTCCAAGATTAAGATGTTGTAAATTAGGATATGTATATGCAATTTTTTAATGGTCTTATCATTAATATAACCACATTCAAAGAGATTTAAATACACTATATTTGAGCATAAGCTTATTAATCCATCTATTTCCTCATCTGTTATTAAATGATTGTGACGTAAACAATTAATTTCCTTACATTTAATCTGTGAAATAGTTTTAAGTCTCTGCAAATATGAAAAAACTTTATTTGCTATAAATATTCTAATTTGATATGCTCCTATAGTATCTGTCCTGCAGTGTAATACCAAAATCAGTTAACAAATAAGATGAGATAAAGAGCCTTGTTAGCTGATAAAAAATTTAGGATTGGTACTAGTATTTCGGTCAAATTTAATGGATTAGTCATCCTTCTTCCAAAAATTATTTAATGTTATATTGCGAATGTAAAGGCTTGATTTATTAATACAGGAATAAAATAGTCATTAAAGTGCTTCACAAGATTGCGTGAGCATATATCTGATTGATTATCACTGGTAAAAAAATCTTCTGAGCTAATAATCATTACTCTGGACTAGTTAGATCAGTAGAGTATCAGCATTCTACTTAATCAGCTAGTATTTTATCAAAATAATTTCTTAGGTATCATCTATTTATAACTATAATGAGATGATCAGTATCAGAATCAACTGTCATAAATATATTGGAATTAGGTTATCAGAATGTCTGGTAAAACCGAGTTCTAATATTAGCAACTAGAGGCTATGTTGATATTAGCTCTATCACTCACTTTATCTTAGCTTGAATATCATTCAGATTTCAGTAATTCTTAACATGGGTATTTGGATTTAGCTTATTTATAGCTCCTTTGCTAATTTTATAACATCCCATCAAATTAAGATATTTTAAATTATGACATGATCTAGTAACTTCTTCAATAATTAGATCAGTAATCCTACAGAAGGTAAGATCAAATTGTTAGAGCCTTAGGCAAGAGCGAACAACATTATAAATTGATATTTTAGAAAACTCTCTATGATTAGAAATATTTAGATATTCTAGTTTGTGATATGAATTTGCGATTATAGATAAACCTATATCATTTCTGGTTCAAATCTTACGCATAAATTAGATATATTAAGGTAATCTAAATTTGGGTATGATTTTACTATTAGCTTTAGAACTTTACCTGTAGGATCTATACTTTTTCAAAGTCTAAGTGGATTATATTCAGAAATGTGTGTATAATACCTTTGATTTTTTTATTTGAAAGTGAATGGTAGTTGTTATTTTAAGATGAGTTAGTTTTGAGCTATAAACTGGTTTTCTTTCTCCTCCAGGTACTATTTTTAAAAATCTTTCTAATCGAGTTCGATCATCCCTAACACTATTTAACTCAATGCATTTTCATAGAATAGGAGCACCACATCTGTACTACAATCGGGATACGAATAGAGTGGGGTAAAGGGATTTATCTAACGCTAGAAAATATAAAACCTATTCTAATCTTTCTGATATAATAAAAACACTTGTATGTGCCATAAATAATGTGTATTATATGCTGTATTTTTAATCAAAAAAATATCTTTTGAACAAGACTAAAGGTGCTTCGCATGATCACTACTCTAAACTAAGTCTTTTCACTATCTCATCTAATGCAAGATCCTATAAACTATCAATAAGAACTTTAAATGTATTTTCAAATGATAATTCTTTGAGGAATAGATTTTTAAGAAGCCATTCTAGATAGTCTTTGCTTAAATTACATTCAATCAATTTTGAATAAAATTTCTTTACTGTATAATTACCCTGAGCCAATCCCACATTTGAAATTTCATTCTTTCAGAAAATACATGATTCGCCTCTCTTTCCCATATATCATTTATACTGTGAGAATTTTTAGGTCCTGTTCTGGAAGATACTTTAGAATAAATGGTATTAGTTCAGGTGAAAGTTGTTCTAGTAAATTAACTGTATGCATTTTTATATAGTTAGAATATTTTTCGATTGAAAAAAATCTTCTGAGCAGATGATCACTATTTTTATTATGTTATATGATATTCAAACCAATAAATAAATCTATCTACAAGCGTTGAGAATAATCTGGTATCTTAGAATGATAGTATATATCATCACTCAGTCTGATTGATTCATCACTTCAAACTACAAACCATTTAACCTTTTTTTGTCACACTTTTCTTTGATGCTTATGAGGAACAGTTTTTTTATCTCTTACCTGAATTATCTCAACTGAATCAGAATTTTCAGAAGATTCAGATAAATAAGAGGAACTCTTACATTTTTTGATCTTTGGTGAGAAAGCTATTTCTTGTATTAAATTGACCACAGTCTCTCTATCCACACATTCGTTTAGATCTTTTAATTCAATTTTTAAAGATCTCACATCTTTCTCCAACCTTTTTACCTTCTTTCTAAAGTATTAGGTTAGAATGATAATCTTCTAATTGTTTTTTTAGTATTCTATTTTCAACAAAAAGTGTACTATACATATTTGCATTTTGTTCAGGTCCAAGTAATTTGGCTATTTTCTCTGTATGTCTGATAACTTTGTATTTGATATCTGTATTATTAGATGAATGCTTTT